TTGGAGGCGATCCAACAAGCTTTGGAGGATCCGGCTTCAAGTTCATATAGAGCATCATGCACACGACCACTAGGCAATAGCCCTAGTAAGGTTTGCGAGTTCGAATCTATTAATGATCTATCTAGTGATGAACTTGCTTGTGCTAGTGAAAAATTATGGCATGCCTTTAACAAATTATAAAATGATTTTAATGATTTAAAAAGTAAGCATGATGATTTAGAATCCAATCATGAGGAGCAAGTGTCAAAATTGGATGTCATTGCAAAAGAAAATATCATGCTTAAAGAAAACAATGACATGTTAATTTTGGAAAATAAAAAATTAACCACATCTATAACTAGCTTATCTCATAAAAAAGATAATACCATGTTAGAAGTAGAGAACATACAAAATGATACTGCTTCTTTTATAAATGACTATTTATGTTCTACTTCTAATGTTAATACTAATATGCTTAATGATGAGTTGAACAATGTTAAAAACCATATTTTTTCTTTAGATTCAACTCTAACTACATGCATTAACAATCACAAGAAGCTTATGGATATGTGTGCCAAGTCTAAGTTAAAATCATCCACTCATTATGCACACATATATAGCAAAGTTTACAAATGCTCTATTTGCGGCCGAAAAAGTCATTTAACTAAATTTTGCTATGATGCACACAAACATAAGAATACTAATGCTCCTTGTGCATCTCATGTAGCTTCTTCATCTTGTACACTTACACATTCACATGCTCATTCTCACAAAGTTCATCATAAGCATGCTAGTGTGTTCAAGTGTGATCATTGTGGTCGTTTTAGTCATTTGGCCGAATATTGTTTTGATTTGAAAAAAAAATCTCATTTGCTAAATGTTTCTAGTAGACCACATGTTTTAAAATGTGATGTTTGTGATAGATTTGGCCATTTGGCGAAGTTTTGTTATGATTTAAAAAAATATTCAAACTTACCAAATTTCTCAAGTAAACCACCTTTGTTTAATGATGTTTCTCATTTGCGATATAATTTAAAAGAAAAATCTTTATTTGCCAATGATTCCCGTGCACGAGCTAATGGTCCACAAAAACAAATGGATCTCTTTCATTGCACAAATTGCAATCGGAAGGGTCATTTGAACGAATATTGTTTTGACCGTGTTAGTGCACCATATGCGCCAAAGAGGGTTCATAACCCTAGGGCTTTGAGCTTAAATGATAGGGGTCATGTCCCTAAACCTTTTGGTACCAAGATTACTTGGGTACCAAAACAAATTTGAATTTAAACCAAGAATTTTAGTGTTTTTCTTTTTCTTTGTCTTGGTTTTGAAAATTATGCTTTGAAATTTTTTTTTGAAAACAATTTTTAATTGATCAAATTCTTTTGTTTTCATAATTATTAGTTTCAATTTTTATGAGAGGTTTGTGCTTATATAACTCTCCGGATTTATTGGGTATTTATTCCCAAATCTTGTTTACCCGGTGCTAAAATGTTTATATGGGTTGATACTAGCTTAAGAGCTAGATATAGTTGCCTCTCTTGATTTTTGAAAATCAATGATAGTTTGTTTTTATGTGATTGAGGTTGATTTATGATTTCATTTGGTTGTCATTCGAAAACTCTTTTTTGCATGATACTCATGTTTTCGCTTTTTTGATTTCATAAATCTATTTTTTAATACATGATTTTTATGTTAGTATAATGAGACACTTTTTTTATTGACATATTTATATGTGTTCTTATTGTCTTTTTGTATGTGAGTGGTGTTTAGCATATTTTTCATCTATGCTTGCTCACATATGTTTGCCATGATCTTCATTTCATATATTCTATACGATATTTTGATAGGGGGAGCAATCCCTATATCTTTCTATGTGTTATACTCACCCATGCTTATAGGTAGGGGGAGCTTTCGCTCTCTTTATTCTTTTGTCCCCTTTTTGATGTTGTCAAAGGGAAGAAATATTATGAGTATACAATTCCTTGTTTATATGTATGTGTATTATCTTGTATATGTTCATTTCCTTCATGCATATATTCCTTTTTGTAAATTATTTGTCATCATAAAAAAGGGGGAGATTGTTGGTCTTCTTGTTTTGATGGTGATTTAGCAAACAATTTATATCTAATATTATTTGTCTAGTGTTTGTGTTTTCGTATTTATTCTAGGCAAACAACGTGTTGGAGGATGGATGGAATCGAGCTTTCACGATCATATCAAATGGAGGTTGGTGGAATAGTGGTTGAAGCCTTGTAATTCAAGTTCAAGATCCAAGTTCAAGCTTCATCCGTAAGATTACCAAGTCAAGCTATTGAAGATCAAGATCAAGCTTGGGTAATTTAGTTTAGGTTTATATTATGTGTTAGTACCTTAAGCTCAATCATATACACACATACACGTTTTGGTTTTGTATATATATAGTTATATATATACATATATGTTTTGGTTTGATAGTTTTCAAGTTTTAATATGAAACAATTTAATATAATTAGAAAACATATTTTTGTTTCATACTTATATGCATATATATGATTTCATCAATATCAATTTTATTTAGTTCAATAAAATCATATTTTAGTGCATTATATGTATATTTTGATAAAATACTACATTCATTGTTTATAGACTTCATAACAATAGTTTACATCTTTCTTCAAGTCTATAAAATCATTTTGTAAAGTTTCAAAACATGGTTTAGCCAAAATGTCAAAATTCATATGTTTACATTTTCATGTTTTGGACTATTTTGCAAAATGATGATATTTCTCATTTGGAAAGTCCTTTTAGAAAACCAATTTTTGTAGCATGTGTATTATCATGTCTACAATCACTTTCCAAAGTTTCATAATTTTTGGAATTTATTTGATAATTTTAAATAGTGTTTTAAAATCAGCAAACTGCTTTCAAACTGTTTTATTTCATATATCAGTTCACGGTCGACCGCGCCTGAGTTCATTCGTCAGTGGGCAGCAGAGACTTTTACGGTCGATCGCCGCGGTCGACCGTGAGCTCGGAAATTCCCATGGTCACCCGCCACGGTCGACCGCGTAAGTCTCTGGAAAATTTCTCCGTTTCTGAGCTGCTCGCGGTCGACCGCGAGATTCCCACGGTCGACCGGCAATTTGACCGTTGGACTCCAACGGCTATTTTCTGAGCTGTTTTTTTCTGGGGCCTTTGTTGTCTTTTTAGTGGGGTTTTTGCTGAAGTTTTGAGTGGGTATAAATACCCTATTGCCTTCAGCTCTCTATCTAACTATGAGAGTGTTTAAACAAGTTTAAGAAAGTTTTAACAAGAGTTTTAGTTTGGTTTAAGTGTGTTTAAAAAGCTTTTAAGCAAATTGAGAGTTTGTTTTGTGATATCATTTTCACAAGAGCTTGAGGAGATCAACCATTGGTGTTTGAGCATCCAACCTTTCTCCTCTACCTCTTGATCTATTGAGAAGTTTTCTAAACTCTTATCTAGCTTTACATTTGCTTAGTTATTTGATTATCATTCTTTAAATCGGTTGACGAACCTAGGGAGAGGTTGTAACCGAGCACTTGAGGGAGACATGTCTAGTTCAACACTTGAGAGGGTGTAGAGTGGGATTACAAGAGTGTGTTAGTTGTAGAGTTTTCGGTAAACTAGAAAACCGTATTGTGTGGTGTAAACGTTATTCAGGTGAACGTAGAAAAACCGGTCGTGATAGTGAATTTCTCCCCGGGAGTGGGGAGCGGAGACGTAGGACGGAAGGTCCGAGCTCCGTGATCATTTGATTGTGATTTCTCCCCGGGAGTGGGGAGCGGAGACGTAGGACGGAAGGTCCGAGCTCCGTGATCATTTGATTGTGATTGAGTGTGCTTTGGTGTTTATTCTTATTTGTGCTCATTGCTCATTTCGCCATTGTCTCATTATTTTATATCATCCACTATCTTGGCTCATTGCTCATTTCGCCATTGTCTCATTATTTTATATCATCCACTATCTTGTTTCATTTTGTTTACCGTTGTGTTAGTTTCATATCCTTGCATATATATCTCATAGTATATCTCTTTGCTAGGATATATTTCATTGTGCATTTTGCTTATCCTAGTTCACATATCATGTTGTATTTCATACTTGCTAGGATAACTTATTAATTAGTTTTAATCAGCATAAAATCAGATTAGATTACACTACAACAGAAATGCTAATCCGCGAGGAACAAGTTTGTCGTTGAAAGTCGAGATTTCCTCGCCGTAGTGTGTTCGCGAGGAAAAAACTTTGGTCACCATTTCCTCGCGGTAGGGTGGTCAAGAAAAGTTTCTGCGAGGAATATTATAATTTCTCACGAAATCCTTTTTGCGATGAATATATTCTTTTCTCGTTGTTACTCTTTAGCCTCGATATTTTTCCTCACCTAATCTCATACATTTTTCATCGCTAAACTACAGTTTCCTCGCCAATAATATGTGAATAATATTTAATTTATATATAATAAAAGTTCTAAAAAAACTATTTTCGTCGTTGTAAGTACCTTTCAACGAGGAAATTGTTCCTCACCAAAGGTAAATCATTAACGAGGAAATTTATTTTCTTCATTATATGTATCTTTTTCTCGTGGAAACAGTTCCTCAGTAAAGGGACTCAATGACGAGAAAATTTAAATTTGTCGTTGTAGGTTGTACCCTATATTCCTCGCCAAAGAAATTCAATTACGAGGAAATTTACATTTGTCGATATAGGTTATATGGTCTATAGCGAGGAAAATTACTTTTGCCGTTATAGGTTGTATCACTATAGCGAGGAAATATGTTTTTGTCGACATAAGCAGTATACTCTATAACGAGAAAATATTCTTTTGACGATATAAGTATGTGGCCTATTGTGAGGAAACATATTTTCGTCACCTTAAGTTGTAGGGTCTATTTCAAGGAAATTTACTTTCATTGACCTAAATATATAGCGAGAAAACTTATAATGGGGAAATTTTATTTCATCAATAATAATGCTATTAAGAGAAAAAAAACAAAATATAAATAATTATCATGAATTGTCACCACAGTACATCAAAACAATTAAAATAAATAAAGCAAGAAAGTTACTACCATAAGTAACAATGCTAGTCTAAAGCAATAACAAATGCAACACGATCAAAGAAACATTTCTCCAAGTGTAAGTTCACTAAGAATACTAAGCTGATGGATGTTGCCTCGAAAAATTAGCCATAAACTCCTCAAACTTTTTGGCTTGCTCCTCCAATCTTTGGATTACCTCATTTTGCGCATCGATCTTCTGTTGTTGAGTTCCTACAAGTTGTTGGGTCTCTTGAAGCTGTTCTTGCAACTCTTTATTCTTTTCAGACATTTCACTCATCGAAGAATGAGAGAACCTTAATGGTGGTGGTCTAGGGCCAAAACCACATCCCTTAATGTAGCCTGATTTGACTTTGAGAACTTTTACACAAATTTCCTCATCTGTCATTGTTCGAGTTCCATCAGGTTGAGTGGTATCTGCTCGCATCTTTATCATTTGATCCTATAAGTAAAACAAAAATATATCCAGTTCAATCATATGCAACTTCTTAATTACAACCATATCAATATAATCCTCTTTAGAACAGTAATATCAATTTTACCTATATTCTTAAAATATTATAAAAGCATGCATCATTGACACGTTACTTACCCATTTTTCCTTTGCTCCCAAGTCCCATCCTTTTTTTGTACTTCTATACTCAGTTTCAAAACGATCAATTGCACATTGCATCTCTTCAGTCTGTGTTGCCTATTGCATTCAAACATATTTTCATTTTCAGCATATATATATGTACACAATTAGGTTACAAATTTATAAGCAAAACTAAAAAGTGTCTTACAATTTGCTCTTGGTGTGACATAAATGATTTTGACCCAGCTTTGTGGTGATATGTCAACTTTGACCTATTAAGAACATTCTTCTCTGAGCGAATCTAAAATTATTGAGACATACAGTTAGAAAGAAGTAAATGAAAAAAGAAAAAATGTAATGCGTGGAGAAAAATAAAAAAAGATATTATACCTTAAACTTTTCACTAGAAAAATGAGTGCAAAGAAACTCCCATTCTTCCTGAGTCTTGACAGCTTCATGTTTGTTTTCAATTGCCTCCTCAATTGTTGAAAACTGCTCAAAATGTTTCTTCAACTTATAGCAAAAATTACAATATACGGTCTGACATGTTGTAATTACATATCTCTGGACCCAAGGGAGCGACATATCAAATTCAAATTTATTCTGCACAGGCATAATTTCATGTCAAACTAAATATAACAAATCAAAGCAACCAATATAATGCCTTTAGCAAAACAAATCATCACTAACCTGCATTCTTTTGATAAAGTTCTCCACATCTGTTTTTTCAATCTTCTTCCATTTTTCCACATTCAGTGGGGCGTAGTTTCGAATTGTGTAACCAATTTCATTTGCAAACATCTCAGCATAAGGGCCCGTAGGTCTGCCATTTTCTTCAGTCAGAGTCACAGGTATTTTAGAATTCAATTGGGAGAACACCTTATCTGCATTCACTCCTCTTGTCTTCCCTCGCACCTTTTTGGTTGTACCTTTGACATAATTTTTATTAAGAACATAACACATATTGAAATGAGAAAACTATAATTTCCTCGCTAATAGGTTCTTTTTTACGACAAAACGGTTCCTCGTAAAACAAAAACTTTTAGCGAGGAAGCCTTAAATTTCAGTAGTAGTTCGTTCTGTGGTGACAACAGTACTACTAGAATTCAGTCCATCTGCTACAGAATTTTGGCATTCTTGATTGGAAGTTTGCAGACGAGTACGTTTTGTACCTATTAGCATACACACTTGTTAGATAAGTAAAAACTAACAGTACTTAAATATTCTAGCAGTAAAATGAAGATTGCATATTTACTCGGATTAGAACCGGATCCATTCCCTGCAGAATTCATGTATGGCAGATAACTAGTTGCTGCATGAGAACGTTTCTTTTTCAATAATTCTGCATGTGATTGATTACTTGGTGTATTACCTGTTGTTACATAAACGTTAAATTGATAATCATATTCTAATCAATCAAGTGAATGAATCATGAATTATAAGAGAAATATGCACTACTTACCAGAAGTAGAACTCTGAACGATAGGCGCTTTGTTACGGTACATCTTCTCACTGTTTATTATCAAACAATTAGAATGGTCAAAATGCAAAAGAATGTAAACAGTAAAAACTTTGCTAGAAAATAGATCAAGGTGGTAGATTGCAATCGGAACCCTCTTTAAAGGTGGTTTATGTACAAATGAGCTTTGAAGGTGGTTTTCATACCATCACCATATTGAATTATGTAGATCCTAGCATTTTGGATGTAACTATTCAATATACATCACAATACTGAAATGGTTTCCAGCAATTGCTACTAGCTAGTAAATCATCAAATGGATGACTCTCGGATTGCTCTTAATATGGATGTGCATGGAATTGCTGCTCTAAAGATATGTCTATAAGAATCCAGCTGCAGTGATGGTAGCCTTCTCCTGTACTCCAAGTCCACATAATATGGACAGAGTGCTGATGGCACCTAATATTATGCCAGTCCAACATCGTCAGGATAATCCAAGCAGCACATGCAAGAAACAACTTTCCGCTGTAAATTTTGCTGCAGAACCAAGATCAGTCGCAAAGTAAATAACAATAATGAAATACAAGGAATAAAGCATTTTTACTGACACCCTCAACCATGCACAGACTTCAGGATTTGAGCATCAGGTTAATGAACCTGATAAATGGAAACAACCTGAAACATGGGATTTACAGCATTGGGATTTACAACTATCAGTTTCCATTAAAGAAGTTGCATATTTTGATCAAACCACCAAATATATCCAAACTATCTCCATTCCACCAAAGAGACTTTACAGAACTAGGTTAATAATCACAAGAAGTAGTTTAACCATCAGCAACTGATACTTTGCTGTCAATCATCTGAATTAAAAGAATTACAACACACGTTGCTCTCCGACAATACAAAGTAGAAGGACAAATAGAGGAGGAAATAAAGTGAAAACTGGTGCGCAGATAAAAACATCAAAACCCAAAACATTTCGCATGACGTACAAAAAAAAGCTTAAGTAAGTAAATCACGCGCAGATATAACATGCTACAACCATGAGTAATGACCTGAAACCGTATGATAAGAGAGCTAAATTTCTCTACAGATTAACCCATGTTGTGATCTGTCATTCCTAGTAAGGGCCTGCTTTCACTAAATACCTTGTTACAGTAAAATTCTGAGGATAATATTCTATACGCGATTTTTTCATAAGCTTTATCTGTGAAATTCTTAGACCTACTAAATTTGCAATATTTTCATAAGCTTTATCTGTGAAACTGCATGAGAAGAATAAATAATCCTGTCAAGAACCGTACTTACCCAAATCCTTAGGATATTGAATAGGAGACATATATCAACCTAGCTTTGAACTTCTGTTTGAATGGCAGAAAAATTGAAGAGTAAACATTTTTTTAGTTTCAATCATTGAAAGCTGAGCCCTGGATCACAACTTGGTTCTTAGATGCCGTTTCAAGAATTAATATTATCCATAAAAGCTTAGACAAGTGAGCTGTGGGCTAACAATGTGTATCAAGCTAATATAATTATAGCAAATTAAGTTAAACTTATTGTCAGAGCAACTACATGAAAGCAATCACCCAAGTTGCAAAGTTATCTGGTTAACTAGAACTATGATACATTTGAATAATCACCTTGAAAGAGCGTAAAGGTTTAAACTTTGGAGGCCAACACATCTAGGAAGTATCTTTTGCAACCCAACATCTGTCAACTTGACACACCTGAGGTGAGTGTAACAAGAAAGCATGAGAAACAGAATCATGCATTTGGCTAGTTCAATAGCAAAGCAAAAAAGAAATTGTACACTGGCAGAAAGGTACATCTCAAATCTCAAACTAATTAAAACTAAATAAATAAATCAATCAATTCATGATATATCAGGTCCATTTTATTGAATGATGGTTACAATCAAAACAGATAATTCCATACCACATGATGGCATGCACAGAGTAATAATTCATACATGATACAGATGAGCATTTAGCAGCCAATGATATGGACAGAAACAAATCCATTACTGCTGACTCCAGCAAGGATTGGTCACAACCAGCTACAATATTTTTCAAACTTCGGCTAGGCCAATTTACCCAATACATATAGAAGATGATGAATCTTGGGTGTGTTCTGGGTCAAACCACAGATTTTAGGAACAGTAAAGGCTGCCCATCAGTTTGGTGGCAGAGCATCAAATATTACAGTCTATAGTTGGTATTGGAACTCAGCCAATTAATGTCTTCTACTAGATTAAAGAAAAAATTCAACGCTCCCACAAATAATAAATGACTATAGATCAAGAGATATTTATGTCCTCAAAGTAAAAAACTAATGGCACCTACATTAGGAGCTAAACAACTTAACTGGCAGTAAAAATTCAAATTCTAAGTATCCACTTTCCTGTTGCAAATACGCCAGAATTGGGTAATATAAACACCATAAGTCCTAAGACACTTCAAGAATCCAGACCACTTGAACTTCAGAGGAAAAAGAAACAAGCTGCTCAAAGCTAAATATCAACAATGAAAAACCACTTTCATAACCAGGATTCAGACAAGCATTTAACTCAATATGATATTCATCAAAAGCTTATAACAGATGTAAATTAATTCCTACGAAAAGAGATCCATTATATACATACCTAGTAATATTTAATGCCTCTAGTTCTTGATAATTGTCAGCTATCAAAAACAAACTTTGGTCGGTGATATTCTGCACATTGTCAATCAAAAGATTAAGCTACATAGAAAGAACTGTGTTTACAATTTAGTAGGTCAAATATTGCAAATTTCTCTACAGACTAAATTTCTACCATAGAAAGAACAATAAAATTCTGAGGATAATATTCTATACGCGAGGATACAAACTTTCATGCTCTTAATTTTTATAGCATAATTATTATGACTCCCTTCAAGTTTGACAATTTGTTGATAGACTCCCTACCATTATCTTTTTATTACAAAACCCGCTGACATTAAAAAAAACTGTAAAATTATAGCTACATTTATCAAATTATGTCAAACTAAAACATCCCGCGCAAATCAAAAAAAGAACATTAAAATTGTGATATAAACTAATCACTATCCTCATCATCACTTGAAATGATTGGTTCTTCATCACCATCTTCCGGATCATCTTCTTCTTCAGTATCATCATTTATCAAATTATCTTCACTACCATCATTCATCCAATCATCGTTCACAACCTCTGAAGCAACAATTTCTGGGTCAATATCATTAAGATGCAAATCTGGAGTTTCAAGGCCCTCTTCTTGAACAAACCAGTGAACATCATTAAACTCGTCTTGTTGATAAGCATCATTTGTCACAGGATCTACATCATCCTCAACTATCACTCCACTTGTATCCTCGACCTCTGGAACATCCCACATGTTTCTCAATTGCACCTTTTGTACAACTTTCCAGGGTGAACCCAACTTACAGTCATCGAGATAAAACACTTGTTGGGCTTCCATAGCAAGTATGAATGGTTCATCATCATACCACGTAGAGCTTGTATTAATGCTAGTAAGATTATAATCATACCATATCATTCTTCTTCTTTCGTCTCTACTTGATTTGTCGGTGTTGAACCATTTACACTTGAATAAGAAAACTTGATTCATATCTAAGTACGTTAACTTCACAATACTTAGCAAAACACCATAATAATCATGACTTCCGCCAATAAAAACTCCAGGGACATACACCCCACTATTTTAGAGAGAGTGAGAATGAGGTACACTTCAACAGCCATAAACAAAATCAAGCATAAAGGAACTAGTTACTACATGGTTGAGCTTCATTATCAGGGAGGACTAGAGAATAATCATTGTCTATGTTTTATACCCATTTTGGGTGGGTGAATATTTCTTTTACCATCCGAAAATACCAACAGTAAAAAGATTTTGTCTCAAAATCCTTGAGGGCCAAGTCAAATTACAATATTAAGCTTAAGAGAGCCACAATAATTCTATTCTCCCCATCAAACAGTTTGATACACAATAATTAAGGTTAAGATGTCCTGGAAAAAAACTGCTAAATTTTATTACTACCTCAGGTCTGTTAACATGGGAGTGTCAACTCTGTTAATAAAATTGTTTATGTGAAAACATGCAATTTTGGATTATAAAAATTAAGTTGTTGTCTGCTTGCTATATTGGATCATCTACAAACATATATAAAACATTCTTACTGAGCGCAAGTTCATAAATTTTCAAATAAAACATATATAAAACATTGCTATATTGGATCATCTACAAACATATATAAAACATGGATTATTGACATTAAAGTAGACAACTGCTTCTAATAAGAACAATAGTTAGAAATTATACTACTATGTACATGGTTACGAAGAGTATCAGGTTAATTTTTTTTCTTTTAATCCTAAAAATAGTTCATAAATTTTCAAATAAAAATATACTACTATGTACAGAAAAAATTAGAAATTTCAAATTGGTTGAGGGAGAGCATGAAATATTTAGATCTTGATTACTGTTTTCCTAATAAGAACAATAACTAAAATTACTTCTTTTTTTGTATAGAATAGAAAAGCAGAGAGTTTTTCTCTACATAATTACATGCACAGAATCAACAAGGGATTGGGAATTTTTACAAGTTGAATGAATAATTTAATCTCAAAAATAGGAAAATCCAAAATACCTTTGTGGGGGTGAGGCGATCAGCACATGCAATTGCCAGAAATCGGAAAGGGGTGAGACGCAACCACAATTGCACGAGGTCTTGATCGAGGTCTTGATCGGAAAGGAAAGCGAAGGTCTCAAGGTCTTGATCGAGGTGAGATCGGAGGTTTTTGAGAGAGGAGGTTTTGAGGTGAGATCGAAGGTCTCGAGGTCTGAGATTGGAGGGGTTTTGAGGGGAAATATAAATCGCTAGGTTTTGGGTCGTGGGGAATTCGCGGGTGGGGGGATGAGAACGGAGCGGTTTTGAGGGATAAGTAAAAATCACCACGTTTTGGTAATTATAATTCGTTTCCCCCGTTTTTTTAATCCCTACAAATTTAGTTTCCCACCTTAATTTTGATAAAAATATCTATTTTTTAAAATTTACTTTAAGATATAATTAGCAACTGTTTCAAATAGATAGAAAAGATCAGAATTTATAATAACGGATAAAAATAAAACTCACACCTCAATTCGGGGATCACCAAAACTCAAAACAATAATACTGTCCATTAAAATTCAATTAGAGTTCACCAACTGTACAAATAATCAAATCTAAAATAAGAGATTAAGAGGGCAATTGAAATTAACTCAAGTCATTTAAAGTCTGACCATAATCAGACCTTGATCTAGCATAAAACTTGACCTCGATTAATCAAACAGAAAAGATTTATACATATTGCGGAAGAAAATTGAAAGAATATATGGGCCAAGTAATAAAAGATTGATTCTCAGTACTTACCAAAATTGAAAACTCAATAGATCGGCTGGATGTAAACGAGAACCTCTAAGTTTCAAAGTGCAGCACTGCAGCGCCGTGTTGAGATTGAGAGAGATATTAGGGTAAATCTATTCATTCTTTTTTGTTCAAATTTTTTATTTTTTTTTTAGATTGGTCGCTATTTCTCCCGCTATTTTTTCGATACATGTAATTTCTCCAGCTTCCTCACCAGGACATCCCGCTTTTCTTTTAGATTGACGGTATATATGTTAGCTTTGACTCTTTCTTGTTTAAATTACATATTTCTCCATGTACACAGCATCAAAGAGAGTATATCTATTAAGAGGGTTAAATTTGATATTTTACTTTGACCATGTTTAGAGTTTAGGGTTTAGGGTTTAGGGGTTAGGGGAAAATATAAACATATGTATATCTTTCAGCTATCTTTTCAAAGAGAAAATTTGTTGTGATCAAGATTGAAAGATCTTACTACAATAGGATACCCGGTTGAGGCATTAAAACATACTCAAAGTGGAAATATCTTGCTGAGGCATAAATATCTAATTGAGGCGGATATATCTATACAAGCTTAGAATGTATGATTTAATGAGTGTTTAGAATCGAAGTAATGCCTAAACTTGTGAGGAGAATCTCCCACATCTCAAAGCTAATGTAGTTTATATCTATTTTCATTGACAAATAGGAATAAAAGATTTCATTGCATGTTTGGTTTATATCTATTTGGCGGGTTTTGCACATTTTTCCTTCAAACTAATAATGAGGAAACTATTATTTCCTTGCTAATTGATTCTTTTAACAAGGAAATGGTTCCTCATAAAACAAAAAAAAGTTAGTGAGAAAACATTCAATTTGTTGTCAATGAATTTGGCTGGTGTTGCACATTTTTAGCCAAATTAATAATGATAAAACTATAATTTCCTCGCTAATAGGTTCTTTTTGACGATAAAACGGTTCCTTGTAAAACAAAAACTTTTAGCGAGGAAGCCTTAAATTTGTTGCTATTGAAATTGGTGGGTTTTGCACATTTTCCGCCAAACTAATAACGAGGAAACTATTATTTCCTTGCTAATTAGTTTTTTAACGAGGAAACAGTTCCTCGTAAAACATAAATTTTAGCGAGAAAACCTTTAATTTGTCGTAAATGAATTCGGCAGGTGTTTCAAATTTTTCTGCCAAATTAGTAGTGAGTAAACTATGATTTCCTCGCTAATAAGTTCTTTTTAACGAGGAAACGGTTCCTCATAAAAACAAAAACTTTTAACGAGAAAGCCTTAAAATTGCCACCATTGAAATTGGAGGGGTTTTTTTTTCCGCCAAACTAATAATGAGGAAACTATTATTTCCTCGCTAATTGATTCTTTTGATGAGGAAACGATTCCTCGCAGATTATGGATCTTCAGCGAGGAGATCATACTTTGTCGCTGTTACATTTGGCGGGTTTTCCTCTATTTTTCGCCAAAAGAACAGCGATGAAATGATTATTTCCTCGTTAAATGTGCATTTTGCGATGAAAAAGTTCATCACCAAAATCACATATTTCCTCGCCAATAAAACAACTAGTTAGGAGACCAAATTATGACCATCTTTAGCGAGGAACTAAAATTTTCATCGTAGAAGGTGGTCTACTGTGAGGAAAATATATTCCTCGTAGAAGACCTACTGATATTTACAGAGGAAACAATATTTTCCTCGTCGAAAGTGATATTTGTTGAGGAAAATAATTTTCTCGCAAAAAAGTTGGTCGCTAAAAGACCTGTTTGTTGTAGTGTTAGCATAAGACCCTAATCACCCCCACCCCCCCTCTAGGGTCTAACACGCTTGGGTCCGATGAATAAACCCCAGGTGACTTCTCACACAGGGGGTTGTCCGCGTCCTCCCGCCAAGTCAAAGCAATCATAGGAGGGGAAAATTACAATTTCCACACACTTGGGAGTTCATATCGAAACTCAGGGGCCTGTTAAAACGCCGTATCTGCAAAGGGGTAATTCTAAACGTGTGACTCCTGATATGACCTTAGATCGCTCAAAGGTGATGGCAAGTCGTCTCGAGAATGTCAACAAGGCCCAACTACACCAACAATCGATAAGTTGCTCTAGTCATCACACCAACGGGTTATACTATCAGGCTAAAAATAAGAATAAGTCTCGAAAGAGAAATGTTCGAGAAACGAGTCCTCATTGTGCATGTGAGAGGCTCATTAAAACAGTGTTATCTGAATGTAGTTTCTCCAAAGCCTCACCACCAAGAGTCTCTGTATTCCGAAGGCTTTCCACTAAAGTGTCAAAACCCAA